TCCCCTCTGTTAAACACACTGTGCGCTACGCGCTTTTATTTCGATGAAACAAGACGTCGAATGAAACATTGGCGTTTACCTTAAACACGACGACAAGCATGACGACACGAAACGCACAATCATCGTTTAAGGCATTTCAAGAATCAAAATTTGTGAAGTAAATCTCAAATCGTTTCTCCATTCTTCGCTTTGAGCCATAGTTGCCATTGTTACAGAACAGAGCGAAGAAACCTAGCAGCAAACGTTTCGTGAAAAAATTGCAAACAACGTAGTGAGATATTATTGTTGTCCCTGTTTAATTTTGTGTTACAAGCTGCCACTCTAGCGTCGCCAGCGCGAAGTCGGCGACGGGAATGACAGCAGGTTGGTTCGTTCCGTACGCAAGCAGAGACAGTGAAGAGATCAGAGACGTGAGAAAACAAAACAAACTTTACTGTAGTGATATTGCAGCACACGGGATCTAATACAACACTTTTTCTCGGTTTTTACCTTCTGCAGAATTTACACCACATCACGTAACTTGCAAAAATGATGACTGAAGTCTGCATCTGCAAAGCAACACTAAGTAACCATACTTAGCACGCACGTGTAACAATTCTTCACTCTGACCGCCGCCCCCCTTTTCTCAATTAGATTCGCTTGAATCGCACACGATGGGGTCGCTTTCCCGGCGGCTTTCGAGCACGCCAGAGGTTACAAAAAGCACGAACGCCAGGCTGTGTCCTGCTGTCACGCCTCATTCTGCATTTCGGCCGGCTCCCCTCAGGAATATGCAAGGGACGCCAGAAACAGGGGGGAAGCCTGGGTAATAGTGTCTTTGTGGTCGCCCCCACGCAGTACTTAGCCGTTGTGCCTTTTCGACTTTGAACCTTCGGGCCAGGCAGCTTTCCCGAAGTCGTCGAAATGAACCGCGCCTTTCGTTCGGGTGACGCACCTCCTTTTCCCCCTCTACACCTGGCTCGCCGCTTGTGCCTCCATGAACGCCACCATTGACGTTTTTTGAAACGGATGAATGGCCTAGCCTTTCGTCTTTCTCGAGATGGAGTGGGATCTGCCTTAGGCTTACACAGTGCGGTGCGCTTCCGCTTCTTTCGTTTTCGGTGATGTTTGCTTGCCCCCTTTCTCTCGATGCCATCATCATGTTATGTTGGGCACTGAGGGGTTGGGAAGCTCGTTCGAGCTTTTGCTACATTTTTCCCCACGCTCAAACATTTTGAACTCGGTGTCACGACGGACTGCCCGGCCAAATTATCTTTGTTACCGCTGATAGAATCATTAGCCGGGCCCTCTCCGATAGCATCACTGCACTCTTGAAGCATCACGTTCTTGCTTCGATTAGCCACTGCACTACTTATGCCTACATTTGACGATGTCGAAACGTACTCTTGAGGCACGAAGGAGGTTTCCAGCATCTTACTGGGCCCATTGGGGCTGCTGGCACTCTCCTCATCCACGCAAGGAGCGTCTTTCGACATCGTCTCTACCTCCAGACCGGCCAAGTCCTCGTTCTCAGCATACTCTACCTTGATGCATTCTAGAATACGCGGGCCCTTTTCTGGCGCGATCTCTGGTTCTAGCGCTTCCTGCCACACTTTAACGTCCAGCGCTTTCCGACGCCCCTCACTTTCAGACTGTTGTCTTTCTGTTTCGCGCTTTCTTTCAGACTCTTGTCTGAGCTGCTCTTCTTTGGTCCAGGCAGAAGTTCCGAATGTCCGGAACATCTCTGCCTTAACTACCTCGTAGTTGTTCGCGTTCTGCTGACTGAGTCGCGCAACAGCTTCATTTGCCTCGCAAGGCAGAACCGGGAGTAGCCCTTGACACCATGTGTCTCACTCAAATGACAGTTCCTCGCCGGCATCGCCGTGCTCACTGCTGGATCGGCTCACCCTGCTACTCTCGCTGAGGCGAATCTTTAATTGCAGTAACTGCACTTTCCGTTCTCCGGCTTCCCTTGCCGCTTCTCGTTCTTTCGCCCTTTCTTCGCGTTCTCTCTTCCTTTCTTCGCGCTCTCTCTCCCTTTCTTTTTCCCTTTTCTCCCGGGCCCGTGCCCGCTCTTCTCTGGCTAACGCCTGCGCCTGTTCCTGCTGCTCCTTAACACATTGTCTCAGTTCGGCGCCCTCGAGGCCTAACTGTTTACCGTATGCGATCCACTTATCAAAATCCATACACTCCATACTGCAACTGTCACTATAATGCCACTATAAAAACAGCGCAATCATTGCAGGATGCAACCGCTTCAACTGTGTGGCTCTATCACAACGCTGTCCGCACGGTTCTCGTTCACCCCTCACTGTCTTACTCTTGTACGGAACGTCCTGTCTCGCGGACGCCAGTTTTGTTACAAGCTGCCACTCTAGCGTCGCCAGCGCGAAGTCGGCGACGGGAATGACAGCAGGTTGGTTCGTTCCGCACGCAAGCAGAGACAGTGAAGTGATCAGAGACGTGAGAAAACAAAACAACTTTACTCTAGGGATATTGCAGCACACGGGATCTAATACAACACTTCAATACAACTAACAAAATACATCGACACTTGATACAACTAAAGAAATATATAACAGAAACAATAAATCAGCTTACGAGAGAGAACTATTACAAACTACACCAACTAACAAGAATAGAACGACGGAGGAGAAAGTTCGAAGATATAAACAGGTGAAGGCATACGTGTGATGACCGGCAGCGTTGTGTCCCCGACGATCGGATGCGAGAAGTCGGAGAGAGTTCTGGCACGACTGCGATGTCGGCGGTGTTGCAACGCTGGAGGCTCCGGGAGGCTAGTGCTTGCAGGTGACTTCGAGCAGGTTGAGCTAACTCGAAGCGAAGTCCCGATGTCTACGTTGCAGACGTTAATATCGCGTCACAACTAGACGAACGGCTAAGTTTAGGTGGCCAGCCGATACAGAGCCACACTAAAAACTTCTAGAAGAGATGCTTGTTGATCTGTTTCTACACCATGTTGGTCACCGACTAGTCTGCCTAGCAGGGCAAAAACCTGCGCTTAAATCCCACTCGTGTCTCCTCGCTCTCTTCCTTGGGGACAAGAGACCTCTACATGGGTCCAATCATGCGCGTTTAATTGAGGGGAAACTCCGCCCCAAAAATATTTTGACCCCACCCCTTTTTTTCAATTGGGAGAGGGCCCGCAACTAGCGAGAGTGACAACCTGTCGGGTTGTTGTCATACGGCTTGGCCACCAGAGCGTTTCCCACGCTTTTCCCCGTGGGAACGGTCAACCACTTAGCTCTCAGTCGGTGCGTCTTGTAGTCTAATCCTTGTTCGGGGTATACCGCGGCCTTCTACGACCTTGCAGACGTCGCCACAGTTACAAAAGGATTAACTGTGGCGGCGACGTTCTAAGAAGAGCACCCCATTTTGCACTTCTCGGATCCCTTTCATGAGCCGCCGTTTCTCACGGTCAGTCGGAGAGTACGGCGCCCGTTAATTGCCGTGACGCGGTGTCGCCAAAAATAGCTGTCCGTGACATTTTGTAAAAGCACAAAAGAACAATTTCTTAATTCTAAACATTAGGTTATATGTGGCATTGCTTGTTTAGTACAGCCTTAGGTACCGCGCAGAAATATCGCCTTCGAGAGATGTGCATTGCTTCTTCGTGGACTCGGAGATGAGCGCAGTGGGGGGGGGGGGGGGGTGCAATTTAAACAACAGATATTTTGCTAAGCTTACGCGGAAGCCCACACTTTCTCAAGTTTAATTATCAAGCTTCAGATTCTGCATTTAAACACCAAAAAAGTATTGTAAGGTAAGGGTTGTAAGCGTAAAAATTATGGCCACTGTTTGGGAACTACTTCCTTAGTAGCGCAGAGGCATGAAAAATAAGGGCGATAATGCTTCGTCAGTGGAGCCTATATTTATTCTTAGGTTGTCACCAACTATAGTTCAGTTTTATTTAAGCCCTCTCTTGTACTGAAAAAACTTTTTTGCCTTTGGATATCCATACACGCTGACAACGGCGGCCACCTAATCACTAACCCGTATGTCTGAGTGAGACATCGTTTTTTTCTTCGTTTCGTCACATGCGGTTTCTCGAGCTTTACAATTTAGTTTTTACGGGCGAAGCTTCTTAGGGTCGAGCCTTGTCCCTTCTTAGGCATGACATAGTACATACGTTGTCCTGGCTTGCACGAACTGGGAGCTCCGACTGCGAGCGTTTCAATCGTAGGTAGAAAGGGAGAACAATAATCGTGGGTGCACTTATAGCACGCTGTTTCGCTGCGGCGTCTCAACAGCTGTACCACGCACTCGCTCTTGGCTCTCTCGCTCTCATGGTCACGGAGTGCACTTTGTTATGAAAGAAACAAATGAAAGAAATAAATATGAATGAATGAATGAATGAATGAATGAATGAATGAATGAACTCGCCATCATTCACTTCGAGGATATGCTGTGATTTTTTCTCAACAAACTTAGAATTACGCCACATGGAGCCACAAAAGCACGTGCTATAACCTTATTGCTTTTCTTGAAGCACCATCCTAACGGTTAAAAAGCTACTCGATGGGGCTTCTTGTTAGTCAGAAAATAAGCACGGTTTAAAGATTTTGAAAATTGAACGATAATGAAAACTGTGGCCAGCTTGACTGAAGGAACAATCGTTTTATTTGTTAAAGTATAAGTGGACCAGTGCAATGACAAAACGTTCCAGCCAAGATTGCTTTCTTAGTTTTCAGTTTTAAAAAGTGGGTTCATGTTTCGAGATCCGCTCGGTCAGGGGGAGACTGTCCAGCCGGCTCTGAAGGAAGCACTTCTTAGAAGTGGTTCCCTTGACGCCCTTGTCAATGCGTTGTTTTCTTCATTATTTCCGCAAATAGTGTGCTTACGTACTCAAAATTTTCTCCATCGAGTGCTTTTTTTTCGAATAGAAACACTAACTAAACCAAATATGAATGGAAAGCCCTTGTATTCTTATAACTTCACTGAGCCATACAAATTTCTGTTCAATATATTTACAGTACTTCTCACGAGCGCACTTTCTGCAGCACATTCGCCCTGAGCGGCTTGGTTGGAAGGTGGAGTACTTCATCAGCGGCTGTACGAACTTCATCAACCCATCGCTCATCCATCGCCGATCTCTCCCCCGGAACTCTCTGAAGTTTGCCTGGGCCTCAGTGTTCAGCTACGGTGGCTTCGCGTACATGGAGGTTGCCGAAGACTCCATGGTGGTCACCTTCTACGACTCGGGCGGCAAAATTCTCCACGAGAATGTACTCAAACCCCGACCACCCTCCACCTGACATGAAGAACTATATGTGACTCCTTCGCTTTGATCTGTTGTACTTCACAGTATGATGAATTTTCATCAATTAAAATAACAAAACTTACCTGCTGGTGCACTGAGTGTACGGTGTAGTAAAGATAGGCCCACGTAGTATCACAGTTGTGCCATTTTCTCGTCTTACCCATGTCAGTAAGAAAGATGCTAGGCCTAGTGGGTACTTTGGACTCCACATATTTGCACAAAGCAAGAAAACGAATCGTTACAGTGAAACCACGGTATAGGGAGAACCAGGGACAGAAAAGAGTGCTACGACAGCGTTCCTTCATGTCCATGTTTGTTTCTTCCGTAGTTACGCTGTAACTACTCATTTTCTGCGCTTTGCAAATCTTTCAGTTACACGCCTAGCAAGAGTGAAACTGAAATCAAAGGAATTTTTATGCGACATATATCCATGCCTAAAGGCGATGCATATACAAAATAAGCCATTCATCTAATATACCTATTTATTTATTTTGCTTCTTTGTCGAGTACTCGTGACTGAATTTGCAGCAGAAGGAGCTTGATGTGTTTGATCGATATCATTGATATGCGGGGTTAAGCGTCCCAAAACCACCACATGAATATGAGGGACGCCGTAGTGGACGGCTCCGCAAATTTTGACTACCTGGGGTTCTTTAACATGCACCCAAATCCGAGCACACGGGCCTACAACATTTCTGCCTCCATCGGAAATGCAGACGCCGCAGCCGGAATTCGATCCCGCGACCTGCGGGTCAGCAGCTGAGTACCTTAGCCACGAGACCACCTCAGCGGGGCGCTTGACGTGTTTGTGTACCATACATGAAGGGGAAAAGAAGCGCAAAAAATGACGAAAACTAGACGAAACACTTAGAAGAAACAAGCCAACTATCAAGTGAAGTTTATTTGAGCAAACACGAACATGTCAAGACAAACAACTCCTACACCACGTGCTCAGGCTCCATCGTAACTTGAAGGTTATCTCTTTTAGACGCGAAGCATCCCGGGTGTATGCCACGCGGCGTCAGCATCCGCACTCACACTACGCATGCGTAGCTTCTTTCCTCTCCCACTCTCGCCTCACAACGCTGACGCAGGGAGCTTCTGCTAACCTACGCTCACTTTCCCCTTGCCTATATAGGCATTCCTCACTGATGCATTGACACTGCCATTGCGCATGCACGTCCCCTCTCTCCTTCCCTACGTGCCCCTTTCTCGCCTCGCAACGCCGATGCAGGCAGCGTCCGATGACTAGTTTCTGTGTTTGGAAAAATTTATGGTCACAAACGTCAATAACACTCAACAGAACATATTCTTCTTAGACATACACTAACGATGATGACAAAACAGAAGTCATTTTCATGAACATGGATATGAGATGACTTTGAAAGAACATGTGCATTCGATGGTTCACACAAACACAACCACAAACAATATTTCAAGGTAAACAAGAGACACACATAAAACATCAATATACACATTTTGCATATTTACATGTTGGCATGCCATTTCTGCCGGGCGCATCGACACATCAGCCTATCGATACCAGGCTGGCCGAGAGACAAGTTTCACTCGTCCATCACAGACCGACACAAAAGGGTAAGACCAGTGCCGAAGAAATTCCTCTTCACCGAGGAAGAAGAGCTCCTCCAACAAAACAGACAGCAGCTCCGAGTACAATCGCTCTAGGATCACGAAGAGCACGTGGTGCCGGCGGCCCACTGCAACCGCCTCGTAGCGGTTGCGCCAGAGGCAGAAAGAGCCGGCAACAATGAGAAGACAAGCGAAGCTCCTCGCGAACACCGTGGGAAGAAACGAAGCGATTTACTCTGAGGCAGCGAAATCTGGCATGTACGACTCTCCAAAAAACGCGAGCAATGCCACAATGCCTCAGAAAATGTTGATTTGTTTCCCGAAGGAAGCAGTACAGACATGTCGCTGACTGGACCATTCTCCACCTTTCGAGGCGGTCGAGAGTGGGAAGCACACCCCATCCCAGGAGCCAAATGAAGTCCCGGAGGTGTTCAGCCAGAAAAGAAGCCGTTAACGTGCTCCAAGACTCCCGTCTACAGCGAGCACGGCGGGCTGGGGGGACCAACGGAATCAACAAAGCAGCAGTTGTCTCAACTATGTGGCTTCAGCACATCTATGCCAGGACAGGTCGACTGGACATGGCGAAAAAATGCAACAGTTGCATAAAACGCCGGAAGTGTTATTGACTGCGGCCCCCTGTTAAAGAGGTCGTCAAACGCTTGCTTTTTTCATTTATTTAGAAATACTGCAGAATGGCTTGACTCCAAGCAGGAGTGGACAAAGAAAAAAAAAGTTCACCAAAAAAACACATCAACAAGTAATTATGAACCAAAACATGAAATCAACACATGAAACACTTCAATTCAAAGAATACAGCGATGCGAGTTCACTCCAAGCATGAGTGGACGAAAAAGTACATCAACAGAACACATCAACGAATGATTAGCAACCGAAACATGAATCACCGCATAAAACACTGCTATTCAAAGAATACAGCGATGCGAGGACAACTTTACCCACGCTTTTCCCTCAAGTGTGTAATAAACACTGCTACACTGGGGCTATCTACAATTTCTTTCCGTAGTTTGTTCCAGGCGCTTATGGTTCTCGGGGAAAAGGAATATTTTAATGCATCGTTCCAAGAGCTGTATTCCTGTATCATTTTCCCGATATCAAAACGTGCACTTGTGCGCAGTGTTTAATGTATATCTTATTTTTAATTTGTATTACATTTTAGTATAATTAATACAAGAATTTGAATCTATTTTCTGCACGTCTCGCTTCAAGTGTATCACGGCCAATATAATTCAGTATTTCTGTCGCACTATCGGTGCGTTTGTATTTGTTGCAGATGAATCTTGTAGTGACACGCATCCTGAAGGAGTGCGGCCGCTAGCGTGGGTCCGGTCTTAGCGAGCCGCAGGGCATGCGTTAAACGTCACCATGGCGAGAACACGATACTGCTCAAGGTCGCAACACTTTATTGTCTGTGGCAACACCAAATCTAGTACAGCCTGTTGCAAAGGCGCGGCGGGAAAGTAAATGGGCTTATCCACGCCACGAACATAAAAGTACTACACAGGGTGCCACGAGCACGTCTCCGTGGTAAAGGTGATTCACGGAGACCCCGGTACCAAGGCCCGGTTGCTCGAGCGAGGGTAAAGGCGCTCGCGTTGGCTTCGGAGGGAGACGGGTAGGCGCAGCTTGGCCACGCACCAGGACACCGTACCACCCTTCAGCCGAGCGTACGCGGAGTAGCAACAAAAGGTGAGCGTCGGCCTCGGGCGCGAGGCGCCGTCAGCGAAGTCCAACGAGCCCCGAGCCAACGTTACTAGATTCTTCTTCAGTTTGCAAACTCCGCTGGGACGAGGTGGTGAAACGCGGGCCCTTTCATTTCCCGCTCCCTAGGTGGCGCTTCCGATCCCATTTGACTACCAGATCACATGGGAAGTCGGAAACAAGCAATCAAGTATTGATTATTGTCTCATGACTGAAGGAATTTACCACAAACTGACAGAAATGAGGATAGACGAGGAAGGCATTAACAGCTTGGGTAGTGATCATAAACGAATAACATTACAAATGGGATACGAAACTAAAAATATGAGCATGGAATCAAAGTCTGGCAGCTCGTATTTAAATGACAAACAAATAATAAATATAGCCGCAAGAGTCGAGGAAGAAGTAGGCGAAATACCAGGCAAGGACTGGGAGTATAGGGAGCTGTTACATCTAATGACGAAGGAGATAGGGAAAGAGAAGAAAACCGTTTGCTGGAAAGGAAAAAGGAAGCCAAAAAGTTGGTGGAACAAGGAAATCCGGGAGGTGATCGAGAAGCGACGCGAAGCATCACGGGAGCATAGAAAGGCAAAAAAGGAGAAGCGGCCGCAGGACGAAATCAAAAAAATATGGGAAATATATTTGGAGAAAAAATCCCTTGTACAGAAATTGGTAGAGGCAAAAATTAAAGGTGAAAGTGAACGCTGGATGACAGAGATACACGAAAAAAAGGAGGCCGCGCCTAGGATTTTTTGGAGCCACATAAAGGCGCTAGGTAGGAAGTCTGTCACAACGCAACAACATATTCTAGATGAAGGAGGAAATCAATTGGAAGGGTACGAAGCGCTAGGTTACATCCAAAAGGTAACAGCCGATTCGTTTCAAAAGAGCGTCCAGGGGATCTCCCCGGTGAGTAAAAGTGTGGCGGAGAAAGCAACAGAGGAAGAGCTAGTACTACATAATTTCAACTGGAAAAAGGCCGAAAGAAAAATTCCAAAGCGCACTGCCGTGGGTTTAGATGGGATTCCCGTTAGCCTCATTAACGAACTAGGACATAAAACTAAAGAAGCATTGTTAAAAGCAGTAGAAAAAAGCTTAAAGGACGGACAAATACCGGACAGTTGGCGACAAAGTAGAATGAACTTAATCTATAAAGGCAAGGGAGAAAAAGACAAGATTCGCTCGTATAGACCACTAACCATTACATCGGTACTATACAGGTTGGCGATGCAAGCAGTAAAAATGAAAATAGAAACATGGGCCGAACATAACGATATTTTGGGAGAACTTCAGAACGGATTTCGAGTCGACAGGCGGTTAGACGATAACCTGTTTGTTCTCACTCAGTGTATAGAAATATCTAAAATAGAGAATAGGCCCTTGTACGTGGCTTTTCTAGACATCACTGGGGCATACGACAACGTTAATCAGGAAATTTTGTGGGATATATTGAAAGGAATGGGCATGGGCGACGACTGTATACAGCTTTTGAGGGAGATATACCGAGAAAATACAGTTTGCATAGAGTGGGAAGGAATGCGTAGCAAAGAGAACGTTGAGGTTAGCAGGGGTCTGAGACAGGGATGTCCTTTGTCCCCACTGTTATTCATGCTGTACATGGTGAGTATGGAAAAAGCGCTAGAAGGTAGCAACATTGGTTTTAATCTGTCACACAAACAGGGCGGCATGATGATTGAGCAGAAGCTTCCAGGTTTATTTTATGCGGACGATATCGTCTTATTTGCGGACAGTCGAGATGATATACAGCAGCTG